GCTGTGTTTTCCATTCTAGGCAAGATCGTACTAATTTGATGCACACATGGATGCTTTACACAATCTGCAAATTCATCGCTGGCATCTTGCATTAGTCATCTGACAGATTGCCAAGCGTTTCATATTCCTTTCATGTGACTTTATTACAAAACACACACACACACACGCACTGCCTTGTTCCTGCCAGTAGCCAGTTTAGTGAGAATTCACTGCGGTTCTGTTTACAACGGCCATGCAGAGAAATCTGCTCTGCCTTGCGACTGTCCTCTGCTTTAAAATGCCAAAGTCCCGGGTTGCATTGTGCCGCTCTTCTCTGGTATAATGACATTAAGCAGCAGCCTGCAGAGAAAACCAGACCCAATGTAAAATGGAATCGCATTGGGTTTTGTTCATAATACTTATGCTATTAATTAAATAGTGATTTTTTTTTTCCTGCTTTGTGCCAATTGACATCATCTGCATCTAGTGCACATGAAAACTGCGTAGTCTCCTAACTTGCCTTCCCTTTTAAATCTCCTTTTCCACTTTCTAGTAACGGCACAGCTAACAAGATGAATGGAGCTTTGGATCATTCAGACCAACCAGACCCAGATGCCATTAAGATGTTTGTTGGACAGATTCCCCGTTCATGGTCGGAAAAAGAGTTAAAAGAACTTTTTGAGCCTTATGGAGCTGTCTACCAGATTAATGTTCTCCGAGACAGAAGTCAGAATCCTCCCCAAAGTAAAGGTACAGTAGTTGTGCTCTCTTTGCTTTAAGTCTGGGTTTTTTTTCCGATGATCTTGCTTGTCTTCAGGATTTCCAAAGAGGTTTGCATCTGGGCTCTCTGTTTTGAAGCACACTGTGTTGAACTATGCAGCAGTCCTAAGAGGAGAGGACTCCTGAATACCTATCGATTGCTGTCTTCCTCCTCGTCTTAAATTGCAGTTTAAATATCTGTTATCTGGAAGTGCGCATTCCAACTGTGCAAAAAAATAACAAAAGATTGCTGTCCTTGTTTAAATTATTATTGCCAAGAGGCTTGGAAGCCTGAGCGGTCACTTTCCCAGGATTAGCTCATGAAAAACACGATTTTCTGCTTCCTTTCGTTTCCTTTCTTTGCACCCCAGGTGGGAATAATTTTCAGGATGCAGAAGGGGAGAAAGGGTAGCGGTGGGCTCTTGCTACGTCGTTGCTCCAGATGCAATAAAAATTAAAAAAATCGGCTCACCCTGCCCTTTTTACAAAATGTGATTTCTTTTCTGTAGTCATGTTAAAGGATTGATTTTTGGCACTGGTATCTTTCAAAAACAAAGGGGTTTTTTTGCTTCCTGCATTTTTTTTTCCATACAGATGTAAAGTATTTGTCCTTAACTATGTTGCTTTCTTTAACTGTATATATATGCACATTTAAGGATGTGAGAATTCTGTGTATTATAGCTATGTATGTATAACATATGCTTACATGTAGACTGAAAGTGAGTATTTTTTTTTCACAGAATGCATTTTTCTCCTGAAATAGCTGTATACTCTTGTTTACACTTTGAGTTCTTCGGGTTCGGTGTATGAAGGTGTTGCTGGCATTACAAATCATTAGTGCAGCTCAGAGGCGTAACTGGATGTGCCTGTGTGCCTGGCTGTAAGGTCGCTGGATGTTTATTCGTTCTTACTGCACTCCTGCCACTGCTTCTAAAATCCTTTAAAGCGCGCATGCTACGGAGAAGATCATCAAGTGATTTTTTGGGCGAGCAGCTGACTAACAGCGCAAAACAGGACCCGCTGGAGGTTTCCAGTTCAGTGGGAGGTGCTGGCGATCGCGAGGCGGGCAGCACAGCTCGGGGTGCTCCTGCGCCGAGGCTCAGCCCTCCCTCCTTGCCCTGGCGCGGGGCAGAGGAGCCTCACAGTCACCTCTGCTTTGCTGCCCCAATTTGAGCGGCCTGGTGCTTTGAGTGATATGAGGTCATTTTGGGTTGCTTGCATCCATCACTTCTGATTATAAGACTTGGTGCGTTGGTGTCACACTGGTGTCGGGGGGGGTTCATCTCACCATACCTTGCTGCTAATCAAGTCCCCGTACTAGACTGCTCTT